CCTGGATCTGTGTGTGCTCCTGGATCTGTGTGTGTGTGCTCCTGGATCTGTGTGTGCTCCTGGATCTGTGTGTGTGTGCTCCTGGATCTGTGTGTGCTCCTGGATCTGTGTGTGTGTGCTCCTGGATCTCTGTGTGCTCCTGGATCTCTGTGTGTGTGCTCCTGGATCTGTGTGTGCTCCTGGATCTGTGTGTGTGTGCTCCTGGATCTCTGTGTGCTCCTGGATCTCTGTGTGTGTGCTCCTGGATCTGTGTGTGCTCCCTTTCAGCACTGCCTGGATCTGCCCGTGCTCCAGGATGTGGCTGTGCTCCCTCACACACTCCTGGATCTCTGTGCACACTCACACACTCCTGGATGTGCCTGTGCTCCCTCACACACTCCTGGATCTGTGTGTGCACACTCACAGCACTCCAGGATGTGGCTTTGCTCCCTCACACACTCCTGGATCTCTGTGTGCTCCCTCACACACTCCTGGATCTGTGTGTGCTCCCTCACACGCTCCTGGATCTCTGTGCACACTCACAGCACTCCAGGATGTGCCTGTGCTCCCTCACACCCTCCTGATCTGCAGGAGCAGCTGGCTGGAGCTGCCTGAGGGAAGGGGCTGAGGGTGTCCCCCGTGCCCAGCCTTCCCCGCTCAGTGACACGGAACAGGAACACGAGCCAGCCCTGCCGAGATGCTCCCAAAGCCGGGGTTTCACCCCCCCAAAAGGTGTATATTTATAAATGAAAAGCATAACCCAGCTCCAAGCTCTGGGCTCCCGTCCTGCCCTCCCTCACCAGCACACTCATGTTTTCCTGAGGCTGTCACAGGCATTTCAGCTGTAACCCTTTCTCAGCTGGAAGGAGGAAAAGGCAGTTCTTTGTCCTGAGCAACTCCTTCCCCGTCCCTCAGATCCCACCTGCTCTGGATGGTTTTACCCCTAAATAAAACTTAAACAACCCTGATGCAAGTGACCAGTAAGAACCACATAAACAGGGGTCTATTCCCAGTTCTGAGAGCTGGATAACCTTGGATATATCACATTAATGTGTTTGCTGTTCTGCTTCCTCCTGGAAAACAGGGCAATATTTACTGCGTTCCCAGAGGAGACTTGTGAGGCTTAATTTACTTCTGTGTTTATGCAAAGGAGCCATGTAAAAACTGCTATCACAATTTCTAGTTCATACACTAAAGCAGAAATAAGTATTACAACCCAACTTTCAGGTCCCATATTACAACCCAACTTTCAGGTCCCATTAAAAATCCTTCCTCAGACCACCAGGGCAGCAGTGGAGATGATGGGACGGGGAGGGCACCTCTCCCCTCCAGGCTCAGGGCCTGAAGAAACCCCTGATACTGGAGTTCCCTTTCCCTATCCTTCAAGATGTCGGAATGGTTCCTCAGATGGAAATGGAACTAGAACTGGGCCGCCCCACGCCATGGGGGGAAAGGGATCCAGAACAAACCCTGTCCTCATGTTTCATATTGAATTTTCTAAAGAGGCAGTGAGGACGAGCAAATAAAGAGGAAAGGCTGGATGATGGCTGGCTGGCTCTCAGTCCTTGGCCATCAGCTTGTTGTGTGACCTTCACAAGTGTTTCAGTCTTTCTGTATGGGTACAGAATGCTGAGCTGTTCTCACTCCTGTGAAACTGCCCAAGATTGTTTGCATTGTTATCACTGCTGCTCTTGGCTGAGGCTGGAATTTGTAACAATTCTGGATTCTGTCTGTCCCCAGCCCCTGGAAACTCCACAGGGAATCCAAAGGTTTTGCACAGTTCCTTTCAGCTCAGCAGGATGCTGAGCATGTTCTGGGTTATTAGGGTAAGTGAAGATTTTGGGGGGGTGAAATTCTCTATGCTCAAGTTCAGAAAGACAAAAGACTTCCAAAAGAACACCTTTTTGTTTAAAATTCAACAGAAGAGGCTGCACAACCCTAAGTTAAACAAAACAGTCAGCATAACCGTTCTTTTGTAGTTTTTAATGGTTGGGTGGGTGCTGTTTGCTAAATGCTGTAGAACCAAGTGGCAATAACCTCATTTATCAGCCCTAAGGACATAGCCAGGCCAACCATGAGTTAGCACTTCCAGCAGACAGGGAATATTCAGGCTTGGCAAAGCTGAGCAAAGTCAAACAGGTTATACCTGTTCTGTGCCTAGAAAGCCTAATGATTGTTTCCAAATCCCTTTCTCCCTGTGCTAATTTTTCTTTGTTTCACCAAAACAGACATGCAGGAATGGGACGAGCTAAAGATAGAACTTAATAGGAAACAGTGTGCCCATTTAGGGAAAAAACCTATTCTGAGGTTGCATCAGTGGCTGCTGGGCTTCAGGAGGTGTTTAAAGACCCTCCCTGCCCCTGGAAGCTCCCCACAGGCAGCTCCCTGGGACACAGACCAAAGATGCTGCTTGGATTCAGCTCAGGGATGATAAACTTCAGTTTGTGGGTTTGATCTGTCTGACTTCAGTTCAAGTTAATTCAAACTTCGTGACAGGAGAAAACAAACACACCAAGAAGTGAAGGGTTTGCACGAGGTGATGGGGACAGAGCCAGGAGAGAACTCCATGGTGGTCCAGGACCCCAAAGCACTGACTGAGAACACGAGGGGAGGAAACCCTGTGGAAATTCCCCCCCAAGGGGTACTACAATCAAATATTCTGCTGCGCCCAAAGGTAACCACAAACAGGAGACAAACCTCCGCTTAGAGGAGTGAAGCCAATCCCGATTCCATAGTTCCTAGTGTTCAATTCAAGATGAACAAACCAAACAAAGCAAACCCAAAGCTGCCATTTTATAGAGTGATAAAGCATAAAAACTCAACAGATGCTGTCCACACAGCATCTCTTACAGCTTAAGGTCTTAACAGCAGAGGAGAAGTAGCTGTGGGGAAAAATTTTAAGCAAATGTATTCACTGCAGCTCCAAAAGAGACTCTTCCAACTAACTGGAACCAATTCCCAGCACAGAGAGGTTGCACTGAAGTGCACAGAAGTTGAGCACATCTCCTCCCAGCACAGCCTGGTTGGGATTATAACCCTGCTGCTGCTTCCCATGTTTCCATACTGCTGAAATCCCATCTCCAGCTCATCCTTCCAGGTCCTTTCTCCTCATCCAGGGCTACCTGCTCTCCTGCACTTGGATGTAAATTCACCAAGGCCAGAGACTCTCTCTTGCTCTTTATCTGTACATTTTTCAGAGTAGTACAGCCTTTTTCCAGGGCCAGGGCTCTGGATTCTATAGCAGGTCTCTGAATTCTTTATTAAACAATAATCAGTATTTTGTTTCTCAGCCAACAAGAATTCACTAGTTATTAAGAAACACCACTGTGCACAGCTAAGTGTCACAATTAAAAGGTCTTTAAGACATTCCTTAGAAGACCAGACTCAAAATTGCTACAGTTTGATGTAACCCAACACAGCTTTACTGCACATGAGCTTGAGGATTTCTGCTGGAGAGAAGTTTTGATCAGCTATACTTTATCCCTATTTAGGGCTTCAATTATCACACTAACAAAACAAAATTAAAATTTGACCCAAATTAGGGAGTTTGTTGTTGGATTTTTTTAATGGTATCACTAACTGCAAGCTTCACTTTGCTGTTAAATTAGCAATGGGCTTGGAAACATGTTCTCTCTTAATCCTTGGGGTAACAGAGGGTGGCTCAGACTCAAATTTAAGAACAGATCTCCAGCCTGGAAAGCTGCTTTATGACACAGTTGCACCCATGACCAATTCACTAAACTTCCAGGCTGACAGAGCTCCCAATGCTAATTAGATTTACACAATGATTCAGCTTTCTACTACCTAAATGAACTTTGGGAAGCTGCAACAACAGCTCCTGTTTCAGACAATTCTCTCCTCACAGAAACTTCTGTCAACCACTTAAAGAAC